GTAAGCCACCAGCCACGTGGCAGGGTATGGATTTATAGAAATGGGTTAGTTTGAGATGAAAAAGCAGTTGACGGGAAGCCTGCCACGGCCATACAGTTTATAAGTGATATAAGCGTCTGAGTGATTATTTTGTAACTGGATTGTGGGACTGCGGGGCTTGGGGAACCTGGAGAGAAGCCCTCCAGCTACAGGGGAGGCTGAAAGGGAGAAATCAGCAGCCATCTTGAGAGACGCTTCCCCCTCCTCTCCAAAGGGATTTGCTGACCAGCAGTTTTAGAAGTGATCAGAGGTTGAACTTAAGGCTGGGACAATAAATCTATGCATCCTGGACTTGGCACAACAAGATAGAGGGAGTAATGGACTCAACTGACCAGACATTGACCCTAGAGGAGAGTAGGACTGTAACAATAAATCTGAATGTGTCAACAAAAGCAGGACAGAGGGAATAAAAATTTTTGTCTCTATAGATACCCTGAATCCTGTTAGCAATTAGTAACCTTATGTTTACCTCACCCTAGCCCCCTCATCCAATCCCAAGCTGCACGTAAACTTTTCCTATATAAACCCCTTCAAGTGAGTGCTCGGGGCCCTTCTCATCCACCCGCTGTGTAGGATGTTGGATGGAGGACCGAGCTTGCTTGTTTTGTTAATAAAAACCTCCGTGTGCTTGCATCGGATATTGGCTCTGTGGTGGTCTTGCTTAGGGGTCTTGCAACCTGGGTACAACAGGCAAATGGGTAAAAGATGTCATGTCTTGTCCCCTTAGTGACATCAACTACCTACGTTAGCATGCGAAGCCACGCACGCCACTTTCCAGGGTTTCCATTTCCGTATCTCCAACAGGAGTGCTAGGAAAAAAGAAGTGTGACAGTGAGACTCCATTCTGCTTTTACACACCAAGGTCACTGAGCTTCATTTAAAGGCAGGCACAGGCCGATCTCATATGACTGGCTACCCAGGAAGGAGAGGTGAGGTGTTTTCTGGAAACAAGCAATGAGAAAGCAAGGCGTTAGCTGCTAGGTCCCGACCCAAAAGCGGGGTCTGACTTAGGAGTAGAGGAGTGTTCCTATGAAACAGCTTAGGGAACTGGCAACGTGGTCAAAGGGACACCTCCTCAGAGCTGATCCCTGCTACAAGCTCCTGGGCGATATTCGAACTCCCCTCCCAGGTGAACAGAGAGGCCCCGCACACACCCAAGAGCAGTCTGCTCCGGCCCTCAGACCCTGGTGTTCCGAGTTGGAGACCGTCAGTCAACCTGGGTTTAACAGTTAGAGCCCCAGGCTGTGCACACAAATTCCTTCCGTGGGAGGGGCAGGCATTTCGGGTCTCAAGATGTTCCTTGGGTTCCCATAACGACCGCCACAGGCTAGTAACCCAAGAATGACCAGATGAGGAGAAATTGCCCAAAGCCTACCCTTTGAAGGGACAGTCCCTTCCATGTTCAAGTTCAAGAAGTGCTCTGATCACATCTTACCCAGCTTCTCTTCTGTACCAGCAGCCTGGGCACTCGCCCAAGCCTTCTGAATGGAGGGACCATTAAAGCCACCTTCCTCCCTGTACCCCCAGGGCATTCTTCCCTCCCTGCACTCCCGGGGTCTGCTTTCTTCTCTGGAGCAGAAAATAAGATAAATCCTTGGGAAAGATGAACTAGAATAATCATCACGGCTCTAGAAAATCCAGATACTTCTTAAACAAAACAAACAAATAAAAATCTCTCCCGGCTCATCAGCACCCACTAGGGCCACTTAGGAATCCTTAAAACTGGTTTCTGTCCCCTGAACTGATGCTATGACCCCTGAGCTCAGTAAACATTAACTGCACGAGGAGCATGCGAATGGTGGTCTAAAGGGACCGTACTTGCATTATTTTTAATTTGTAAGAATTTCTGATATTTGTTTTTTGATTTTGTTTTTTTTTTTGTTTTGTTTTGTTTTCCAGACAAAGTCTCACTATATAACCCTGACAGACATGGAGCTTGTATTGTTAGGTCTGAAGACATCAGATATATTGACCAGGCTGGCCTCAAGCTCACAAAGATCTACCTACCTCTGCATCTTAAAGGCTGAGATTAAAGGCATGTGCCACCCATGCCAGGATTTAAGGTTTATTCGGTGTGTGTGTGTGTGTGTGTGTGTGCACCTAAGTGCAGGTGCCCAATAGATGTCATATCTCCTGGAGATGGAGTTAAAATCAGTTGTGAACCACCTATATTGGGCGCTAAAACCAAACTCGGTTCCTCTGGGAGAGCAGCAAGCTCTCTTAGCTACTGAAGCATCTCTCCAGCCCATTTTATAATTTCAAATCTTATGTATTTTTTTAGTGTGTGAGAGGGTGGTGCCTGTGCCATGGTGATTGGGTAGAGGTCAGGGGACAACGTGTAAGAGTTCTCTTCTTCCACTGTGTGGATCCCCAGGACGAGGTCATCAGGCTTAGCATCAGCAACTTCATGGGATGATGAGCCTCCCTGGAGTTTTTACTATCATCTTTTTGGGGGATTACTTGGGTGAAATCCTCCAGCATTGTACGCTCATAACATGAGAAAGTTAAAAAACAAAAACAAAAAACAAAAAACAAAACAACAACAACAACAATAACAAAACCAAGGAGGGAAACATATTGATTTCCCACTCTGCCAGGCCTTAAATTGATTACCGTGCCTCTGAATCCCTCACTTGACTTGCTGGCAACCCCTTAGAGATTTTGGTTATAGCTATTAGCTCTGTGTTCTTCTCCCTCCCTGCCTGTGTAATGCGATCTACTTTAATAAGGAGCACACACACACACACACACACACGCACACGCACACGCACACGCACACACACACGCACACACACACACACACGCACGCACGCACGCACGCACGCGCGCGCGCAAAAGTCACACACATGCATACACTCACAATACACTCACACATACACACACACAAGCACACACTTATCTAATTGCATAACCACCACTTCCCTGGGAAGCCACACAGCTCCTTCCTGATAAATTCCACCTCCTACTTCCTGCACATGGAGAATGAGCAAAACGTAGCAGACCACTTAGGCTCCTTCGGGGCCTTTCATGGAAGACTCAGAACAGTACCTTCTTTGCCCACAAAGGCTTAGAATCCAGATTGCTTTAGCACCTGGAAGAGACGTGGCCCCGCATTTCTGTGGTTTGGCAAGAGACTACAGTCTCAAAGAGAAACTAAGCTGGATTGAGGGTTGGGCCTAGAACTCAGCTAGAGAAGGCAAAGTACAGTGGAGGAGCGTGGTTTCGAGGAAGATGGGGCTGGGTACAACCTCCGGTGGGCCTGAAGAGTAACTTGGTAGCATCTTTAGTTCCGCGGGCACCCCTAAGCACACCAGAGAGCCTTGCAAAAAGCACTGTGCCCAGAACCCCTGCTTCAGAAATTCCAGCAGTGAGAGGTTAAAAATCCTCGTAAGGAAAGCTCTGGTGAGAGCGGTTTCCAAGGAGCGACACTGCTTTCATCCCCGCACAAAAGGGCCCGAGGGAGGGAGGGAGGGAGGGAGGGAGTCCAGGCTTCCTGTAGCAGGACGCCTCCCATTTGCGGCCTCCTGATGTTCCAGAATTCAAGGATGACAGTTGAGGCAATCAGAGGGCATGGTGAAATCCTTGACATAAAACTCGCTTCTCTGAGGAAGTCCTGAAAACATTTTCTGGAAACTGCAGAAGAGAGATGGGGGTGACTGTAGTGTCACGATACTCGGGAGTGTGTATAAACGGTGGGTGGTAGTGTCTGGTAGTTACTCTCGCTGTTAATTCACAGGAAGAGAGTGTACCTAAAGGTGAAATACATGCGTCTGACACAGTTGTTATGTCGTGGTTACTCTAAATCAGATTATTCCTATTTAGTATGATTTTGTTTCGCTTAAAAAACAACAACAAAAAAAAAAAAACGTTTGGGTTTACTGCCGAGAGGGCCGACCCCGGGAGGAGGACCTGGAACTTCTGGCACACTAAACGAGGGTCATAACCTTGGACCACCCAGCCATCCTAAACCATGCCTTTCTTACTGTGACCTTAGCTAGATTGGGCCTCGTCCGCCGATGGTTTCAGTTTTCCTTTGATAACTACAGGCATGGGGCTCTCCCTGGTGGAAGAAATAAGTCACTGCAGTCTCCTTGCCCCAATCCAAAGGCACGGAACCCCGAAACCCCGAATCCTTCCGGGAAGAAGCGGTACCGGGACCTCTGTGGGTTTTCAGAATCCGGATGGAGATGCTGCGGGAAGGGGAGTCTGCGCGGACGCTCCGAGGGCGCGGCGTGTGCCCGCGGGGCTGCGCTCCTCGCTCTGGGTCGCCGATCTTTCCATAGTGTCAGACTCTTTGGCTAAAAAAACAAAAACAAAACAGACAAACAACAACAACAACAAAAAAGTCGAAAGTCGAACAAACAGGAAAAAGGGGGAACAAACACCTAACCGGGCACCGTGGTCGCTGGAAAGGAGAAGTAGAGAGAATGCAAGCATTTGTTTTATCGGTAGCGTGGCCGAGCGGTCTAAGGCGCTGGATTAAGGCTCCAGTCTCTTCGGGGGCGTGGGTTCGAATCCCACCGCTGCCATCTGATTTTTGCACAAGTGTGTTGAAAATTAAACCCCGCTCTCCCTTCCCCGGAGCCTAGCGTTTGTTTCCAGCTGGCACAAAGAGTGGGTGGGTGGGTGGGTGGGCGTCCTTTTGAATGCACGTTCTTAACCTGGTCTTTCCTAATGCAAACTGTTTAAACAGTGGCGCCCTCGCCGGGTGTCCTTAAATGCTCGGCCTCCCAAAGACAACGAGCTTAAAGGGGGACACGACACAACTCGGGAGCACATTCCGAGCCCTTCTCTGCCATGGGCAGTGTCCTGTGGGGTAAGGACGACAGGAAGGTGACGAACACACACTACCTGTCCAGGACACTCCTCGTCAAGTGGGGATAAGAACAGCACAAACCTCTGATGGCCGAATCGACACATGCGTGCACCGTACTTAGAGCAGAGCCGGGAGGAGCAGGTTTAGGCTTCCTCGTTTTCATGCAAGCCCATCACAGCATGGCCCCCGCTCTCGGCCCCTACGCCAGCCTCTACCTATGAAAACCGAAGACCAAAGATCAATACTATTTACTCGAGACTTGTAGAAACCGGTAGATGTGACCAGGAGGAGAGCAAAGGTGTTCGTTCACTACTAATCACCTACGATGTGTCGGGGACACTGCGAAGTGTGAGGATTACCGCAGCCAGCGTAATAAAAGGCTTGTCTCGTGGGGCTCTATCCAAAGAAAGGAGAGGACAGCAAGTCTGGGCTTGGGAGGAAAGGAACAACAAACAATATACAATAATACTACCCGGTAGTGAGCTGGGAAGGGTGAGACACCCCAGCACTGGGCAGGCTGAGGCAGGAGGATTTTGAGTCTGAGGCCAGCCAGGGGTCTATACTGAGTTCTGTCGGACCATGCCTTTTAAAAGAAAAGCTAATTATGAATAGTATTCAGCAGTGATACGTGCCGTAAAGAAAAATCACAGGGCTCAGTGACAGCTGGGGCTACTTTGAAAGGAGTGCTCAAAAAAAGGTGTCTCTAAAACGGTGACGTTTGAACACAGGAGTAAAGAGAAGTCATAGAAATATCCGACGGGATTATAATCTAGGACAGAAAAATATTTAGGCTCCTGTATTTGAAAAGCAGGGGAGGGGGGGGGAAGACCAGCATAGCTAGAATTGGGGAGAGTCGGGGCGCGTGTTAGGAGTTGAGATCTTCCATGCAAGGACAAAATCCCAGATTTTGTCCTAAAGGTGGTGAGGCGATCCAAACAGAATGTTGCCTTTTCTCTTGTTTAATGGGACACACGGTTGTTCTGTAGAATGGGGAACAGAGCCTGAGGAGATGAAGCTACAAGGCTTCTGTGGAGTCTGTGGAGAGCGGACGGCAGCCGCGGGGGCAGCGAGGAAAGGGACCCGGTTCATGATATAAAAAAAGAAAAGAAGGGGAAGGGGTTGTTGTGGACGAGAGGACCGAGACAGAAGCCCGCTGCCGCGAAATAAGCACAGCGGCCTCTCGCAGAAAAGTAGATTGCTCTTTGTTTTGATTAATGATGCTTGGAGTGACTTCCGTGTTCGTTTTCCAAGCGGATTTCACGACTCAAAAACTGGGCTCGTCCGGGATTTGAACCCGGGACCTCTCGCACCCTAAGCGAGAATCATACCCCTAGACCAACGAGCCGCCGGCAGACTCGCCTTGTACTTCTGCCCCAAGGCTCATGCTCGGTCGTAGGCAATGGGATCCACGGTAGCGCAGCGCCTTCTGCTGGAAGGCCGAGCGCCGGGTCCGGCTCACAAAACTAACCGCCGGCCTCGCGCGGAGTCCCGGCTGGGTGGCCCCGCAGCTTCCGGTGGCGGAAGCGAGGCGCGAGGCTGAGAAGCCGCAGACCCCGCGTGCAGGGCGGACGGGCGGGGGACGCACGCTTGCTCAAGGGCGGCCCCTGCGCAGACCTGAAAACAAAAAGGAGAGCCGAAGGCCCCAGCGAGATTTGAACTCGCGACCCCTGGTTTACAAGACCAGTGCTCTAACCCCTGAGCTATGGAGCCCTCACCTGAGCGGTGCCTTCCTGCTCCTCTTCTTATAGATATGCATTGTCAACCTGTCCGTCTGCAGGGCTGAGCGGGGTTCGTCACCTGGGAAGTTCTAAGATCTCCAGATGCAAACACAGAATGTTCCCTTGTCCCGTTCGCTCCTGACGTGTTCTGCTTCGAGCAGCGCCGCCCTCGGACCGGCATCTCCGTCTTCAGCCTTGGTGACTGAAGCGGGGCCTCCCGCAAGTGCGCGGAAAGGAACCCGGCCAGTGTTCACGGGAGCTGCAGACACGAGGGCACCGACCCCGAGGAGGTGCAGCGCCCCAGGACCGCGGCCAGGCTTAGCCCCCGCCCGCCTGTCTGGATGGAGCAAACCTAAGCTTAGCCTGCTTTTCTGCAGTGAACGCCTCTCTCAAAGGCTCAGGAGCAGGAGCAATCGGTTCATTGCACAAGTTTATCCCTTCCTTAAGGGCACAATGACACATCTTTGCTTTAAAGAATAAAATAAGATTTGCATTTGAAAGCTTTTTTCAAATCCTTGTTTGTATAACAAGAACAAAAACATGCATTAACTTAGGAAAAACTCCACAGCTATTCTCTACGGAAATACAGCCACTCATTACACTCCCTACCTCCTGTCTTGTGTAAATGATGCTGCTGACCTAATTTTTTTTTTTTTTTTTTTAAGAAATGAATGAGCTCCGTTAATTAGGAAAATTAGTCATCTGCAGTTCTTGATCCGGGGTTGAGTCCAAGAGGCCTCACCAAGCTGTCCTGTGCACAGAGTAGGGCACGCAGGGGTTTTGTGTGGCCCACCTGGACCTGCGTCTCCCGGCACTCCCTGGCCACTGGCCCTCAGCCTTTCTACGGTGGCCCTGTCCTCCACACCCCTAGGGAGCCACAGGGTTCGTTCTGTAAGACTCAGTTACTACGTCACTTGGTTATTTAAGGTCCTAGTGCGCTCGTTCCGAAATGAGAGCTCACTGTCATCCTCGTCGTCTTTATTGTTATACTTTTCAGAGAGGGGCTTTGGACAAAATCAGTGTAAGTCAAAACTGCCCTTCCTCCTCGCTGTTTTTCCCCTCCCTCATCATCCTCTGGTCATGTTCTTGGCGCCTCTCCTTTCCTAGACTATATTCCTACACCCTCCCCGGGTCACAATTTTGTGGGCGCATTTCCATTCTCTACATAGACTGATTTATTCTCCTTTACTGATTATCTGTTACATATTTAAGATAATTTTTAAATAATTAAAAGAACATTCCAAAAAAGAAGTCAGGGCAATAACCACGGACCTGACAGTGGTCTGTCAAAACAGATCAAATTTTCCCCAATAGATCCTATCGACATTCAGCCTTTCCTATTCCTAGGAATCATACCGGTATCTTTGCCAAACTCCTACGTTTTCCTAGCCAGCCAGAGCTCACCGTTTACTTCGGCCCCTTCCAGCTGAGATCTGCGCCATCTCTCTGTGTTCAAGTGTGCCTGGACATCCTAAGCTTCCGCTGAGCAACTTGACTCCTAGCTGGGAATCACGAGAATATTTTATTACGTTTTTGCTTGTTTGTTTGGCTTCCATTTCCCCTTACATTTTTATCCTGAAATACTTTAATCCTAGCAATGGAAATAAGCAAAGATTCTCTAAACAGGGAGACACCAAAAACATTCAGAATGTGGTCCAGCAAGACAGCGGGCTGCCCGGTCCACTCCATCATTGGTGGGCGTAGTTGCAGGCGAGATTGTGGAAGCTTCTTAGCAGACAAGGACGAGGCTTGGGGTCTGCTGTGATTATTGGCACACGAAGCTGAAGGAGTTATACTGATGAAGGCACCCTAAATGTTTAAGATGTAATTTTTGCCTTTCCTTAGTCGGTCATCACTTGTAACTGGAGATTCCATCCATTATCATCTTAGCAAGAGGCATGGCAGCATGCAGGCAGATAAATGTGGTGCTGGAGAAGGAGCTGAGAGTTCCACATCTTGATCTGCAGGCAACAGGAAGTGAACTGTGTGCCACACTAGACATAGCTTGAGCATAGGAGACCTCAAAGCCCACCCCCACAGTGACACACTTCCTCCAACAAGGCCACATCTCCTAATAGTGCCGCTTGCTATGGGAGCCATTTTCTTTCAGACCACCACAGGGTATTTTTCTTATTTTTCCTCTCTCAAAAAAAAAAAAAAAAAGAAAGAAAAAAAGGAAGGAAGGAAGGAAGGAAGGAAGGAAAAAGTCAACCAGCAGGGTGGTCAGGATCTTCCGAGACAACACTGTGGAGGCTGAGATCTAGACAGCCTTACCATAGCACAAGACTGCTGAGGCTGACTTTTATTTATTGGTTGGTTGGTTGGTTGGTTGCTTGGTTGCTTGGTTGCTTGGTTGGTTAGTTTTTGAGACAGGGCTCCCTATGTGGTCCCGGCTATCCTAGAGCTCACTATGTAGACCAAGCTGGTGAGGCTAACTTTTGAAGATGCCTTTTGTTCTTTAAAAATAAGTATATCTTTTCTTTTCTTTTTCCTTTTTGAGACTGGGTCTCACTATGTCACCCTGGCTGGCCAGGAACTTCACTGCCTCCCAAGCGGAACTCCCAAGGAATGGGTGAATGCACCACACCTACAAAATAAACAACAGGAGACCCCGTTGGCATCATCTGTGCAGACATGTGTCTTGGTTTATTTGTACTTTATGTCGGATGAAAACTGGAAATGAAGAATATACTAAAATCCCCCAGGGCAAACTTTTGGAAGTTTGTGATTAAAAGTCTTTAAGAATTTACTGACCTGAAATACTGCAAGGGGAGCCTGTCGACTCCACATGTGGAGCAAAGGGCCAGGGGTCCCTAAAAAGTGCTACATTTTGCACAATAGAGAAACCTGCACCTAGGAGGGCATGGGAGAATTAGTTTCCACTTGTCCCACAGCCATTCTTCTTCCACAGTCAAGAGGCAGAGGAACGATCTTATGTGGTCTAATTATAGGGTAGTAAACTTGGTCTCTCTATTCATGAAGCCAGATGGTTTAGTTTTGGTTTTCTAATATTTATTTTATCTTAGGTGTACGGGTGTTTTGACTGCAGGTGCATGCAGTACTCTTGGAGGACACAAGAGGGTGCTAGAGTGTGTCGGAGCTCCTGGAATTGTCCTTACACGTGGTTAAAAGCCACCATGTGGATGCTGGGAAACAAACCAGGCTCCTCTGGAAGGGCAGCACATTCTCTTAACACAGAGACGTCTCTCCAGCCCCAAGACAGGTTTTGTTTTATTGTTATTTTGTTTGAGACAGGGTCTTAAGATACAGCTTTGGCTCCTGAGTGCTGAGATCACAGGCAGGCACCATCCTGGCCTGGCCCCTGACAGTTTTTTAGAGCCGATTGTGGAAGCGGACAGAACCAGCTCCCCAAAGCCACAGATGACCATTACTTTGAATCTAGCTAAGCAAGCATCAACAATTATCCAAGACCCAGAACCAACAGCTCATCCTTACAGATCAGGAACTGCCAGGGGTGTCTGAGAAAGTTTGCCAAGATCCTTTAGATTTTGTTTTCCATTTTGTCTGATACTAAAATGTTTCATAAATCTATTATAAGGAAAAGTAGGGATGAGGAGAAACGCATTCAAATTCTTCCCGTCTACACATCCTGTCTAAATCCAACAACGACTGTTCACATGCTGGAGGAGCTAAGAACTTGGTAGCAAGTTAGATGGTCAGCAGACTTAATTTGGTGCTGAAGGCCTGGAAGATTCCCAGCTGGTTGCTGGTTTTCTGTCCTTGTTGGACCACGGAGACGCTGGGTTTAACATCTGAGGAGAGTGGTAGCAGCTGCAGAACTGGTCACCCGCGCCAACAGGGAGGCAATGAAGGCGAGCGAGCAGATCGCTCTTCCTCAGACCTCTCTGCATCTGGAGCCCCTCCTCCCAAAGGTGCTGTCCATCTGGAAGAGAGTCTTCTCCCTTCATATAATCTTTCCTGGAAATGCCTCCCAGACCCTACCAGAGGCATGTCTCTCGGTTCCAGAGAGACCCATCCACAGCAACACTCTAACAGAGCCTCACATTAACTTGATGAAGTGCTTTCCAGCTGCTCCTGTGTTTAAGAAGCCTTTATCTGGGCTCATCTTGTGCTATTTACATTTAGGGTGAGGTTCTCTGAAAAGTTTGCACACTGCTGTGATTTGAAAAAGACAGGCTAATGTATTTGAACACTTGTCTGGAGTTGGTAGTGCTGTTTGGGAAGGTTATGGGGAGTTCTGGCCTTATGTGATCCCCAGGACTGGAAACAAAGAAATAAAGAAGCCAGCCAGCCAGCCAGTCAGCACTTAAACAAGTAGGTAAGTATCCAAAGGCTTACTAGGCTTTTTTGTTTCTTTTTGCTTTGTTTTTCATTTTGAGATTTTATTTTTATTTGTGTGTGAGTTAAGATTTGTTTACTTTATTTTATATGAATGTACAGGTGCCTGAGGAGGCCGGAACAACTGGAGTCACAGAGGTTGTGCTAGGAATCGAACTCAGGTCCTCTGGAAGAGTAGTATGTACCCTCAATTACTGAGTAATCTCTACAGCCCGTGTGTGTGTGTGTGTGTGTGTGTGTGTGTGTGTGTGTGTGTGTGTGTGTGTGCCACATGTTTGTGGGTGGCTGTGGAGG